CTGGTAAACCATCAGGGACATTTACCTGCCACTATTAGTGTGGAGATGACACGCCTTGCAGTGCCGAATGTATAGCGTGGCGATAACAACAGCAAAAGTTGAACTTGACAAGAATCCCAAATATTAACTACTGACACTTAGTGATTTTAACTGTACCTTCTCCTCGCACTACAAGGACTTTGGAACCAACTCCTGGAATGAACATCTCTAACAGGGTCGAAACCGACAGTAACGATGCGAGGAGCTGATAGGCTGGCATAAGAACGAAACGGAAATCACGCTGAACCTGAACGTTGTTTTTTTTTTCACTTTTTAGAACAAGGAGAATCCATCGGGAAACATGGAGACATGCCATGAGAGAAAAGTGGAGGTGGGTCGATTATATTTGCACTACAAGGCGGTTTGCCAATTTTTTCCTCGGCTGCCAGCCGAGTGTACGTTGGACATTTCGTTTGTTTGACACGAATCATCGCCTACAAGTGATAAATATAGAATTCCCCTCACGATTCGGGTTACGGCACCAACTAACTAAGTCACTGAAACGTAAAGTAAATCAGACACCTTATACCCATGCACTACAGGAGAGCCGAGAGATCGTAAGAAGACTGACGGAGAAACTGAACACCGCATTTCAGGGAGTTAACGTCAAGGAAGTGAATGAACGAATAGTTATAGGAATTGAAGAAGTCTACTTGAAGACTATCCCATTTAAGAAAAAAGACCCTTGAAGAGACGCAACCATCAAGAAACTGAAGTAGAAACTGAAGAATGGGTACGTCCGGGAAATGGCGAACTTTGCGTTCGAGAACCATCACTACCCCCTGAACTAGAGACACCTGAGGAACGACGATTCAAATATCAACCAACGTGTCCTAGGAGAACGAAAAGGTATAGAAGTTATCAAGAGCTTTAAGAACAACAGCATACTGGAGGAACTAAAGCAGCTGAAAGATAAAGGGTTGAACTAAAACTTCAGCAAGGGCTTGTTTGGTGCAATCTTTACCCTCTTAATCTTGATCTGGACATGTGTTGTCATTCCAACAGGATGCAGGACTACACGCCAATATCACATATCTATTTAAAAAGGGGTAAAGAATGTGGCTACAAACTATTGTGGACTCTCTGTAAGGGCAAACATGAGCCGAATACTTGCAAAACTTATTAATCGATTTAGAGATGCATATGAAATCTACGCGAGTGAGTAATACGGAGTCCATCAGAATCGAGCGACACTTGATGGAATAATCAATGTTAAGACAGCGATTAAGAGAATAGGGAACGTTGAAAGCAGTGTCTGTGGATTTAATTACAGCGTACGACTACGTCCTAAGAGATTTCGCCTCTCGAATAACATAGGGAGCAACCCAGATAATAGCAGTACTACCGAAATTTACCACGGCCTCAACATAAAAGGGACAAAATCAACATTTTATGCGTGCATTGGGTTTCGTCAAGGTGGGCAAAAATCGCTTTGTCTGTTCAATTGTAGGTGAGATTACATTATTCCGCACACCAGTACAAACAGAGAACAGCGCCGTAGTGAAAGGATGAGCGGCGTAGAGGTGATACGTTGTATTTTATATGTCGATCTTACAGTGTGAAACACTGAACTTGCTTATTATCGGCAGAAGCTTGAGAGAACACGAAATTACCATTCATAAGGACCTTTCCTATACCGTCTTCATCGTTGTCTCTTGATAGTGTACCGATACAACGATATCGCCTTCGGTAGATTGAACAGTGACAACGTTCTGCGGGCGACAGACTAAGAACCGACATGACCAATGCACCAGATACTTCAGATGTCGCTTTCATTTGCGTTCTCATTCGACGTTGTATCGTCTTGGCTAAATCTGCTTAACATATTGGCCCGGGCAATTGCACTAGCATGGCTGTAACTCGAACGTCAAACCAACACCTGAACCACTATTCTCTTTGCCTCAACGCATGTCAAAAGGACAACTGAAGTTGAACTCTCTCCCAGATTTCCCTTTTATTTCTAACTCTGAAATGTCCCTGGCTGGGTGATCACCGTAGGGGGCGAGATTAGATTAGGTTTTCTTTTCTTTTGAGAGGAGGCAGCCTTACGTACGGACGTTCTTAGGGGTTCGTCATGTGTGTCCACCTTTCTATCAGTATCAAAACAGTTTACAAGGTACAGGTACTACTTTAACAACAGTACAATATATGTCTCATCAAAGAGTTAACAATAGATAATAATACTAAACGCCGTATTTACTAATCCATCTGTGTTAATGTTGAATTGTGTACAAATCTTTCCGCCAGTGTAAAATACAGTCACACAGAAGAGAAACCATTATTTGAAAAATTAAACTCTTATTAAGGAATTGTGACTGATTGCTTCCGTCGATGCAGTACAGTCACTAGTACCAAGTTCATTCCATGACAAATCCAACTGCGTTATTGTTGAATTGTGTTTAATTACTTCCTCAAGTGTAGTACAGTCACCAGTACCAAAGAGATTGTGTAACAACTGCGTTATTGGTGAATTATGTTTGATGCTTCAACCAGTGCAGTCACCATTCCCGAGTTAATTGTGTAACAAATCCAACTGTGTTATTGTTGAATTGTGTTTGATTGCTTCAGCCAGTGCAGTGCAGTCACCAGTACCAAAGCCATTGCGTGACAAATCCAACTGTGTTAATGTTGAATTATGTTTGATTGCTTCTGCCAGTGCAGTACAGTTACCAGTACCAAGGAGATTGTGTGACAAATCCAACTGCGTTATTGTTGAATTGTGTCTGATTGCTTCCGCCAATACATTACGGTCAGAATCGTCAAGGAGATTGCTTGACAAATCCAACTGTGTTAATGTTGAATGGTGTTTGATTGCTTCCGCCAGTGCAGTAAAGTCACCAGCACCAAGGCTATTAAAAGACAAATCCAAATGCGTTATTGTTGAATTGTGTTTAATTGCTTCCGCCAGTGCTATGCAGTCACCAAAACCAAGGCCATTGTTTGACAAATTTATTTGTGTTATTGTAGAATTGCAAATGATTGCTTCCGCCAGTGCAGTACAGTTACCAGCATCGATGTCATTGTGTGACAAATCCAACCGTGTTATTGTTGAATTGCAAATGATTGCTTCCACCAGTGCACCAAATTCACCAGCACCAAGGATATTGTTTGACAAATCCAATTGCGTTATTGTTGAATTGTGTTTGATTGCTTCCGTTAGTGTAGTACAGTCACCATAACAAAGCTCATTGTGTGACAAATCCAACAGTTTTATAGTTGAATTGTGTTTGATTGCTTCCCCCAGAGCAGTGCAGTCACCAAATCCAAGGTCATTGTCTGACAAATCCAACTGCGTTATTGTTGAATTGTGTTTGATTATTTCCGTTAGTGCAGTACAGTCACCATAACAAAGCTCATTGTGTGACAAATCCAACAGTTTTATAGTTGAATTGTGTTTGATTGCTTCCCCCAGAGCAGTGCAGTCACCAAATCCAAGGCCATTGTCTGACAAATCCAACTGCGTTATTGTTGAATTGTGTTTGATTATTTTCGTCAGTACATGACAGTAATCAGCACCACGAAAACTACCTCTCAAATCCAACTGTGTTATTGCTGAATTGTGTTTGATTGCTTCCACAAGTGCAGTACAGTCACCAGCACCAAATACATTGCATGACAAATCCAAATGTGTTAATACTGAATTGTGTTTGATTGCTTTCGCCAGAGCAGTACAGTCACCAGTACCAAGGAGATTGTATGACAAATCCAACTGTATCAACGTTGAATTGTGTTTGATTGCTTCCGCCAGTGCAGTACAGCCATCATCATCAAGTTGATTGTATGATAAATCCAACTGTGTTATTGTTGAATTGTGTTTGATTGCGTCCGCAAATGCGTTACTATCACCAGCAAAAAGGTGATTGTATGACAAATCCAACTCTGTAATTGTTGAATTGTATTTGACTGCTTCCGCCAGCGCAGTACACTGACTATCGCCACGAAGACTGTCACTCAAATTTAACTGTGTTATTGTTGAATTGTGTTTGATTGCCTCTGCCAGTGCAATACATTCACCCTCACCAAGGTCATTGTATGACAAATCCAACTGTGTTATTGTTGAATTGTGCTTGATTGTTTCTGCCAGTGCAGTACACTCATTAAGACCAAGGCCGTCGCCTGACAGGTTCAGCTCCTTTATTTGAATAATTGACCCAAGGGTTTGAGCTAACAGCCAATGAAGAGAAGAACGTGAGTCGTTCTTACATTCGCCAATGCACTGTAATGCCACCAATAATTTATCATCATTGTCTGCCTGAACAGCAATACTGGCGATCAAAGGCTTTACCTTTTCTTCAGATTGCAAAGCTAACAGGCCGCAAGTGAACACAAGCACCTGTTTGAGCTCATGGAAATATCTATGGTCGGTAATCATGTTTTCTGGACAAATTGTGTTATCCTGAATTTGGCAACACAGGTAAAATGCTGCAAATAGTTCCTGAAATGTTTTATGTAAAAAGGAATAGAATAAAGATGGTCGCAGTTTGCTCCGACTACACTCAACGGACAAAAAGCCAAATTCTGGTAATTCGTCTGAACAATTTTCAAACTTGCTTTCCTCAAAGGACATGTTATTCTGAAGGAGGCCGCTCAACGCGATCGAGCCAAGCTGTTTCAGTTGAGTCTTGTATAGCTTAGTAAGGTCTTCGCCCTTAGCCTTTGGTAGTGGTAAACCATTCTTTTTCATGTATCTTCTAAGAACACAGTCTACTATTTCTAGATACAGCTGTGTACCACTCTCTGGAAATACACCATCAAAGTCTTCACATAGGAGACAAAGAAGTACAGTGTTTAAAGGACTTTCTGTCAACTGTCTGAGGTTTTCGTCAAGGTTTAGTTTGATTAATAGCTTCTCGGCCAAATGAGCGTCCTCTTTGAAGTATTTGACGATAAACTCTCGGGCGTCGTCTTTGGTAAAACCTTCAATTTCTAGCAACCTGTCGCAGCATTCGCGCACCTCCATACCAACCTCCTGTCGTGCTGTTACTACAATGTGACATCTTTGTAAGATTCTTCCTTGAATTACTTCCTTAAACGCTGGTAACATATTGGTAGGCAACTCATCCAATCCATCAAGTACCAGTAAAATGTCTGGCTGATTATGGCGAATGAATTTGAAGAATTCGTCCTTATCTTCTTTTGTGACATCTTGAGGCAGAAGTTGATCATCAATGGCGTTCCAAAGAACGGATTTAAAGATTTCTTCCAGTTGTTCTTTCTTGGATCGAGGCAAAAGTTGTCCTTCCCAAAGGTAAGACTCTATTTCTCGGCATTTAAGCAACAAAACTAGTTGGAAGTTTGGGAAAAAACTTCCTGAAGGATTTTCTTCCCCTTGTTTCTTCGTTGCCCAGTCGTAAGCAAGTTTATTACAGAATGTGGTCTTTCCTATACCTGGTTTCCCTTCAATCAACACCGTCCTAGGATGTAAGCATTCCTCGTATGGTTTGAAGATATCGTTCATCGTAACAGTTTCATCAGTCTTTTTACCCCTTTCTTTCTTCCTGCTCGCTATTTTGAGTCTGGTAAAATTGTTATCAAGGCTCAACCGAAATTTTTCCCACCACGGAAAGGGTGCAATCCATCTTTCACGGGTGCTGTAGAGTTGGCGAATGCCATCGATAAATTCAGTTGGGTCAAAAGCACCTGATAGAGAAAAAAAATCATAGCACCGCGTTAGTCTAACCAAGTTCAACGGACATCCACTTAATTGGGGCACCTCGTTGTTACAAACAGTTTTTTTGTTGCAGGGAAAGCCCTTACATTATCTCTAAATTCAATCTCCCTCAAACAAACACCTGTAAATGAGGACACTATTTCTACCGCCTCCCGCCCCTAGTGTCCGTATTAAAGGGGTGCGATTGTGCTATCATTGTATGATGAGTCTCAGAAACTGGACAAAAGAGAAACCTGAAACAGGAAAGGCGAGTATAGCGCACATACAAAAATAAATACAAATAATGTTTGTTTTAATTTACCCTTGCATCTAGAGAAGCATGTTCGTTGGCAAGAGACTGTTTTTCTTGGTGGTTAGAACTAATTGATGATATTTTCGAAAAAAACAAAACAAAACAAAAAAAAGGCTCATCACTTTTAAATACCAGAGGGAAAAACTGCAACGGTGCCATTGATGGGTCTAAGCTAAAAATTTAATGTAAATCTGGTTGTAAGTTGCGCAAGGTAGAGCATGTATATTAAGGGCCCTTTAGAATACAACCAAGGTCTATTACAAAGTGATAGACATACCTTTTTCTTGCTTTGTTCCCGCTGCATGATCTGTCAAACTTTCTATAATTTTCCTTTGACTTTCCATTAGCTGATCATTCATGCGCTTTAGCAGCTCTGTTTGTTATCAGAATCAAAAATCCAGTGATCAGTCCAGGAGCAATCACAGGTAAAAGTCTAGTTAACTGGAATGATTATCAAGCAAGTGTTCACAAGAATACCTCAAGGGTAAAGAGTTTCGGGGGGGGGGGGGGGGGGAAAAGATATAAAATATCATCACCATTAACACCTTTTTTAAAAATCGTCTTTTTTCTTTTTCAGGAGGGTCTAGGATAACCTAAATGTCAGCTGAAGCTAACTCGAAGGAACAGCTGAAATTCAGGCTTGGTCTTGGATTTTTGCCAGTCATTACAGCCTACTAAAATATAGGGAATGTATTGCAGGCCATGAAGTTCCCAACACTCTTCCTTGGCATGTATTCTCTTAACTGAAACGATCCATGCCTTGCACCCTCAGTTCTAGCATTTCTTTATGCATAACAGTGTTACAAGATTATCGTTATTTCTTCAATCCACAATAATTACTGACTTTTCAAGTTACCTTCAATCTCATCAAGTCTGTATTTACTGCTATCATCATCTTTCTTCCACTCTCCCAGTACTTCTTGGTAGTGTTTCTCAATGACAGGATCCATACTCTCAGTCTTCAGTCTATTGATAGCAGCAGCATCTACACCCAGTCCTACCAATGCATTACTTATATCCTGCCAATAGGTATTAAATGTTGCATCGTCTACAGATGCCTGGCTGGCATGTCCATAGACATGGTTCCTATAATACTTAACCCTTGCTATGTTGGCTTCAGCACTCGTATCTGCAGCAGGTGGGAGATTATCCCAACCAGTGGTTGGAGGAATCAAGCCACATATATTCCTTAAGAGCAACATGAGAAGTGTGACGTCAAAATCTTTCGAAGATATTGATGAAGGTGAAGGGGGATACAGTTTGGCCCATTGAGTGGGATTAAGAATTCTCTTCTTTCTAAGTGTCTGCAGTATTGGATGTACAGGAGGCTTTGTAAAAACTCCACGTAGGCCTGCCGGTGGGTGAATACTATCAAATGTGTTTCTCAATGCCTGGGATCCTACATCCACAAGAAGACGACACAGACGAGCATAATTTGTTGTCTCCTTGGTGGATGCATATGAAGTTGTGCTGGAGGCCATGTTGATTATTTTTTTAGCTGTTAAAATAAACAAATTAAAAAAATATATATTCATTTGGCAACCACAGTGTAGCCCAGCGGGTACTCCTGGGAATTCTTGGTGAGGTGTGCCACCCAGTTCCCAAAATTTTGACCCTTTTTCAGACCAAAAAATTACATTTACCACTCCTGTTTTCACACCTGACCTCTAAAGTTCATACCTATTCTCAGACCCAGAGTAGGTCACAAAATGCAACATACATGTTTACAAAGGTAGAAATTACGTAATCATTACTTAGATTAGAAGGCCAACAAAAAGATTTTTTTAAAAAATCCATTTAAAATTTGCATATTACTCTTTCCTTTTGATTCATTCGGAATTGAAACGACAAATGTGTTGATCGCTCCTGCAGTCCCCTCAAAACCACTGTTTCCAGACCAAAATGGGCAAAGTCTATACCTGTTTTCAGACCGAAACACCACAAAAACCAGACCCTTTCGGGCGGCATATAAGGGAGTATCCCCTGGGAATATAGTCAAGTGACAAATTGGCTCACCATAATAACTAGCATTAATTAACATAATACCATTTTTTGAGTTAAACCAGGGCTGGGATGGATGTATCAAAAAAAGATTAGTAACTGCATTGCTGTGGCTGTTTTTTTCAAAGTTTACTTCAGTCAAACTGGATTGAAATTTAAATGATTCCCCAAGAGGGAGCTTGTGATAAAAGAAGAGAGCATCTGGAGCTTCCTCGTTGTACTCGATCACACAATCAACTCACTGTTCAACAAGCACGCTACAATCTTTGACACAGTACTTGCCTGAAAAGCACACTTTTATCAACAACTCCATCCCTTTATCATACAATTCTGTTTAAACATCATTATCGCCCACCCCCAAATCAATGTTACTTGCTGTTGAAGAAAAACCTGAGAGTTTAAAGTACAACCATGACTCGGCTCGGCTCGACTCCTCCCTTATTGTAGATTTCTCAAAAACTTAAGCCCACATCTTTTCAAGCACTGATCTCCATCTTATCATTTTGAAATGAGTGACCCAAGCGTTTGGCCGTTTGATAATAATAGTTTGCCCACATTACATGGTGGAAAGATGGGATTCCTTAATCTTTACATACTTTTTCAAATAAATTATGTGAGTCACTAAGTTTGCAGCCGAGCTAGTTTATGATGTAAATAAGACATAAAGGAAACTACATTGACCAATGTTTGACATATTGAATAAGCAGAGCTCTAAGGAGTGTTCCGTGATGATCTTAATTCGTCACTTAGTCTTGTTTTCTCTTTTCCATAACATCCTCTTTTGCTCTAAACATGTACTGGGTAAAATTGCAGCAATTTTCAGCCGCGCTAAATGAATTTCCTTCATCAGCCTATAAATTTGGACTTCAAAAGCCGTCGTTAATATGTTGTAAGGAGAGATTTCCCATGAATTCTTTATTTGCCTCGCGAATTTCTTATCTACCTTTTAGATATTCCCTTTGATGTTGTTTTAGCCGTAATTTACATTGAATTTGCATTGATATGTTTTAGGTCTCTTAAATTTACACATTTTACTTCAATGTCTACTTTTAAACGGATAGTTAGTTTCTGAATAATTATACAGCTTTTTCACTGAACAACTGGATCTTTCTCCTGTTCAAATACCAACTGTCTTAGTTTTTAGTTTTGACATTTTAGGGAATCCTGAGCAAAGGAAACTCGAGTTCTTTTATAGAGCTTTCTTTGTAAATTTCCTAAATTCATTTTCTTGACTGACATTTGATTTTGAGTTATTTAGTTTAACATATGAACTTTAAAACTGAATTTATCGAGATTTGCTTTCGCTGTTCAGCTGATTTTATTCAGCCTTCTTTCCATTTGTTTTGTGATGTTGTAATAAGTTGATCGGTTAGTATGAATAGAGCACTGTTATTCCTGGTTTTCGATTTACATTGCGGATTTACTTGACTGTATGATTTACGTTCACGAGCTGAAGATTAAAGTGTTGAAGTCCAAGTTTGAGTCCTGTCCTGTTTCCAGTTGTAGCAGATCCTAGTACCTAGGAATAGTGACGAGTTCCTTTCCCGCTAGCCAAGCGAGTTGCAGAGTTAGTTTCCCCCTTGTTGTTCATACGCCGAAGTCGCTCGAATTCTCTTAACGCTTATTTTCCGGATTTGTGCTTGGAAGGGCAAAACCTATCGTCACAGTGTGGAATAACTTGCCTATAGACTTTGTACATGCAGGATCATTGACTTTACCTCACAACCGATTGAGGATTTATATGAAAATTAATTAGTATGTACGAGCTAACTCTTTGTTTAGAGGTGTTATGTGATGGTGAAACTTATTGAAACTCTAATTTTTCAATACCCGATGCACATCTACAAGTATTTCGATGACATATTTCAAGAATCGAGGAAACAGTCACGTTTCACACAATCGAAACCAAGCTAATGTACCGTAAAAATAATGCGGAAGAAAACATCACTTACAAAATTATCTTGAGCAAGCGCTAATAAGGAACTTCACATCATGACAATCAACATCAAAAGTCGAACCTCCGATCGGCAGGTGCTTTCGGAAGCGAAATTTTCCTTGTGATGACCAAATTCGCATCGACGACATTACCCCCCAAGATTCTGTTAATGAATTAACTATTTGAAAAACGAATCCGTTAGCCGATCCCATAAAAAGTGCCAAATTCAAATCGGCATTTCTGCATGCGTAATGAGCAGGAAATATTTTACGATAACTTCTCTGTATTTGGTGAGATTGAAAATCTTTGAATGAATTAAATTTCTTAGAAGACATTTACATCAAAATCAGGGAAACTGAGCTGGTAGAAATTTCGTAACCACCTCGCGTGTAAATTCACGGATCATTGCGCATGCAAAAAGGCAGAGATAAATCTGAAATCTACAACTAGTAATAGTTGACACTACAGCTGCCGGGTGTCTGTAAAACGAGGACCGGATACAGTAAAAACTCACGAGTAAGAACCTAAGATTTAAGAACCTGTTAGGCTAAAATTTGCAATTTAGACCCCCTCTATATAAGAACCTCTTTAGCCTAAAATTTGGAGAAGGGTTCTTATTTTCAAAAATCATTTAAAAATATTTACTAATTGCAATTGCAAAAGGCAAGTTAGTACATATATAAATGTTCTTTGATTGAGGTCATTGAGAAAATGTTTATAATATTGTGTTTTACAGCACAATCATGTATATAAAGTTGTTTTGACTCAAGAAATTAAAATTCATGTGAGAATAGATCTCTATTATGGTCATATTAAAATATAAGCAATCGTTACATATGCAAATTTAAGGGTGCTGATCACTAAAATCTTCTTAGCAACGACATAATTTTTTGCAAGAAATTAAGAACCTATTAAGAACCTAGATAGCCTAAATTTATGTTAACCACTTATGTAAGAACCTGTTTAGGCTAACCCTGGAAACTGTAGGTTCTTACTCGTGGGTTTTTTACTGTACAGTATGTTGCCCAGTATCCGGACACTTCAGTTTAACATTGCAATAACTTTCCTTTGTTAGTCGCAAGAGCTCTGAAATTTGGCCCAGAGAAAATCTATTTAGTCCTTAATATGACGAAATACAGTTTAACTTTTTTGCCTTTGTTTCCATCGCGAAATTAATATTGTTGCAGAGCTCCTATTTTGCCCATTATCCGGACAGCTGGCCCAGTATCCGGACACGACAATATCAATGTAATTGTACAACAAATTTCGACAGGCAAGCGACTTATAAGCTTCCCTTGCACTTGTAATGTAGTCTGGCAATCGATTCCAAAAATATAACCTAGCGTCGTGAAATAAAACATAACAAATGACTGGGGTACGGTGGGGAACGCGAGCGGTTGTTAAATGGCATAATTCTTACTTCCTTGTCTAGGAACTTTTTCACTGATTTAAGGAAGGCATCCGTGGACATGCCGAAGCCACCGTTAATAGCTCAATTAGCCAATCTGCAAACGACTTTTTTTCTTCATTTTTTATTTTTTTTAAAAAAAAGCTTGGGGAAGGGACCTCAATACGACGGTCAAAGGTCACGCTCCTATTTAGTCTGACCTGCAGTGTTGATTTCTTCATGCTCAGTCCCTACAGACCCTACAATAAGCCTACTTTTCTAGCACTAATTCCTCCTTCTTTCACATCTCTAATTCCCTTTGTGACATTTTTCAGACCGTTGGAACCCCATTCTAGCAGTCACAACTGGGGAAAGTATGAGAATTCCAGGTTCAAGTCCGACGCTTTCAGTTATATATAGAAAATGCAGTCACGCGAAACAAGCGGTGCACACGAATCAAGTCGCCTCCAAATGAGTGAAGAAAATTTCCGTACGGAGTTCAGTAGAATTACATTTTACGACTATATCATATATCCTAAGCTTTATTATAGTTTTAGATATGAAATAAATCTTATCCGGATAATGTACACAGCTAATTCATCGATTCTGTACAGCAAAGAAAAAACTGTCCGGATACTGGGCACCTGACATCAATACTTAGTGAATGTTCCTGGGCTCTGTTATTCCAAACAAATCGAATTTCAAGAAGAATTAATAAACTTTCTGAGAACCCGACTTCTTTAAGTATCTTCACTTTGAATATAAAACGGTTTCTTTGAAAATATCACATATTACCTACCCTTTTCTAAGCAGCACTAATTTTACTGCGCAGTAAACAGCGTAAATATTAGCCATGAAATGTTTATTCACCTGAACAGAACGGCGTCTTCTGCGACTGTTTCGCAAACTTTCAACTCGCCAAAACCTACATCTTAAAGCTGAAATGTTCAGCTTTCATTCGAAATACTTCGTTTACCGATAACTGAAAAGGTCGCCTCAAAAACTGAGTTTTTGTTTTAAGTGTCCGGATACTGGTACGGTCCGGATACTGGGNAGATATGAAATAAATCTTATCCGGATAATGTACACAGCTAATTCATCGATTCTGTACAGCAAAGAAAAAACTGTCCGGATACTGGGCACCTGACATCAATACT